GTTGCTCGTGCGTCGAACACGTGTTAGCGCCGTGATTGCGATAACGTCTTCGAAACGACCGCGGCGGCCGCGGAAAGGGGATTCTTGGGCAGTTGAATGACGGGAAGGCATCCGCCGATCCCGGAGCATTGGTCATGTTCCACTGGGGATCCGTAGGCGGCGCGACCCCGTTCGGATCATGTGCTCCAGTCCGGATCTGGTCAACTGATCCCGGCGCGCTCCAAAACGCCCAGTGGACTTCGCCATAAGATGAGGTGAGTCTGATTTCGGACGCAGTGAACAGCGTGTGCAACGCTGTCAGAGCTACTGGCTCGAGCATGGGGCTTGATTTCGTTGATCATTTGCACGCGTTCTCGCGCAAACAAAACCATAGATGAAGCCATGCGCTCGCGCCAGCAGCTTTGACAGCGTTGCACACTAGGCATGAAACAGAGTGTATTGTCCATTACGTCCACAGTGTAAGATATACTCTTTAGGTGAGGACACGGCGGGGCTGAACGCGCAGCGCGAGGAATCAAATAGTGTTCGTTCGACGGGCATCCGAAAGGCTGTATTATTCCGCGGCCACTGTGCCCGTAAGGCCTTACGTGCCCGTGGCTGACAGTGTCGCCGGCGGCCAAACGGCGAAACTGTGCGAGAGCGAAAAAAGGGGTGTAGGCCCGTTTGTCATGTGCGCATTCGTCATAGGCCAACTGGTAATAGGCCCGTTCGTCACAGCGGAACATTCGTCATAGGGGAATTTGTCCCCAGGAACGTTAGTCACTGTGCGAACCGGATATTTGAATTTGCCCAACATATATTCACCTGGTTGTCCATGCAGTAAAGATTAGTACGGTATATTTAATTTTGCTAAAGAGAGGGAACATCCAAACAAGTCATCGTTGTACTTAGAAAACAACAAATTTATTGAGCGAAATAAAAAAAAAATTAAAGAGCGATATTCCGAGCTGCCACCCTCAGGTTTTCTAGACGATTGCGACCATTGTAGCGGCTCACAATGATTTGAAGACGCCGGTTGCTGTTGTCGTGCTTCTTGGACACCCTCGAAGATGTCGTGCCGCCCTCTGCTTGAGCCAGCGTCATCTCTGTTAAGGATAAAAAGAAAAAAATAACACACACACTCGTGGAGAAAGCTTTTTGAGTGGGCACCGTACTGAAATTTTGAGCCAAAAATGCAAAAATGTACTACAGAAAACGTCCAAGATCTCAGAGGATTAGGTCAGTTCTTACGTGCCGTCCCCAGAGCCACGATTCGATGCTGTTGTTCGTCCTTGTTGGCCTTTCTGCTAGTGTTGATTCTCTGACTGACCAAACCAGAGGAGGGGAGGTGGCCGACGACAAGCCGTTTCAACGGGGTCTACCGATATACACGTCCTCGAAGTAGTCCGCCACGAGTGAGGCATCGGTGGGGAAAACCTCGAGAAGTTCCTTGAAGGCCTCGGGAATGTCGGCGATTGGCAAGAAGGCCAATGCTGTATGCATTCCCATATGAAAATCAACAAGAAATAAAGTAACCAATTGGCTTACCTGAAGACAACAATAAGACATATAAATAGAATGCTGCATACCAGAATAGCAAACTCGTCATCTGAATTGTAGCGACTCTGGTGACCACTGGAGCACACCTTCCTATACACCAACTGGGATAAGCGACAAAAGCATCCCTGTATCGTTGATGGCCGCTATCTTGAAGTTCGTGTAAGCCACCTCAAGGCAGTTGGCCCCCCATGTGACTCAGAACGACGTCGAAAAACCTTTAAACGAGCGAACATATTTTGAAGTGTTTGAACACATATCCCATAATAGGACCACAGAGCGTTTCGATTTATACGTTTATCAGAGCCCTTGAATGTTCACCTTTTGTAGGTAGCTTCAGATTTGTTGGGCAGCAAGCCGTAAACCATTGGCTTTACCACGCCGTTGACTGCGGCATGCTCTGTGTACAATTGGTAGAACTGTGCCGGGGTCACTTTAAAGGTTCCGTCCGCGAACCACGTATAGTCGCCTGAGCCCGACAGCTCAAGTTGCGATCGATAGCAAAGATCAGGATTCTTTCGCCGTCGCCCTCTCCGCTATTGTGGAGGAGAAAGGAGTCTCCTTTGGCTGTGGTCTGCATGCAGGTAAAACAGTCATTATTATCATAATATGTCGCGCACTGTGATTTTGCGCTGCAATACACTTTACTCTGAACTCTGTGGGCATTCGATCGTATATCGGCTCTGCAAGATGATATGCTGTGCTCGAAATTCACCCGCTGCCTTTGCTTCCGGATGGTGCGCCGAAGTGTTGGCGGTGCGGGAATCTGCAAAGCAGTGTCGTCACTGACACAGGTAACCGCAGCCAGAAGTATTTGGTCTGGTGCGAGATGGCCTTCCACTGGAATAAAGGACATTAGTGACCTTGTTTTGGGAATATAAGAGCAGGAACAGATTTTGGTGCATACCAGCTTTTTCCTTCATCTGATGACGAAACCAAGCACGTTTATCTTGGTGTTGTCAAATGCATGCGTATGATCTCCTGAATAAGTGATTACACGAGTCTTGGCGTGATCGGTGACTTTTTTAGTTTTACAAACTCCTCTTCGCCGGCAGGCCCAATACAACGTAGTTTCGTAAACCTTAATGCAAGTGTAGGAATGTCCTTCGTGAAGAAGCATATCGCCACCTATCTCAGTAGTAACTACCTCCATTCAGAAATCGAGAATGATATTTTTATAATCGGAGGGCAACCGGCATAATAAGCCCTGAAACGGGGCATAAAAAAAAAAAAAAGAATCGCGTTCGGTGGGCTTTTTTCTATTGTGAACTTTATGTTCTCAAGGTTCTTTTGTTAGAAAGGTGACCCCGATAAGGACAACATGCAGGCTAAAGGCTGCAATGCTGCCTTAACTTGGGGTCATTGGGACATGCTTTTGTTTCCCGTAGTCAACCTCACTGGCCCTGTACGGATTTAATTAAGTGGCCCCCTTTCGTAACTTTCCTAAAAAAACAAGATAGAAAAAAAAAACAAAAAACGTTTAACAATCTTGAAGTCATTGTGTGACGAACTGCCAGCGTGACGAACCACCCTATGACCAATGTTCCGCTGTGACGAACGGGCCTGTTACCAGTTGCCCTATGACGAATCGACATGTGACGAATGGGCCGTATCCCCGAAAAAAGTGGTATTTCTGCACGAGCGACAACCTCGCTGGAGCTCTGCGCGTGTGGAGCATGAGGCGGCACGAGCCGTGCTCACGGGTCGACGAGTCCTCTGCCGGCGCCAAACTTTATCTGCACTGCGCGAGGAGCGCGCTGTCCTCACCTGAAGAGTATTATCTTACACCGTGATTACGTCTAGGTAAAACTGGTTCCACAGAATTCGACCATTTTTTTTTTAATTTTATTTTGGAGTTTTTGCGAGGGAGCGCATCCCGTCGTCGCCGTCGGTTGCCCCTTGCCCTGCGGGTTGAGCGGGAAAGCTAGGGCCATCTTTTTTACGATAAGGAAAGAGGGACATTGAAGACAAACAGACAAGACAGGCTTTCGACTTTCAACAAAACGTTTACTGGCTCGACTTCGCCTCCTGAAGCTCGACGCGGGCGTCCGAGAGGTTGAGAGGGAGGGCGGTGGGTGAGGGAAGCGTGGCCATGTGGCCCGCAGCTACGCGTGCACGGCCTAAGGTGGGGTCTGCTGTGTGTCAATGTGTACCACGAGCATAGCCTCGCGGTGCGGGAATAAAAGACGACGACGAGCCAGTCGTTCCTATCTCATCCTGGCGTACAGTCCATCATCCGTAGGCGCTCGTAATAGAACGATACATGGTGTCAGAAGTGATCTTCAGTCTCCACGCACCATGACTGATCTTCCGCCACCAGAACCGCTGCGGCTGGGAGAGCACGCTGCAGAGAATTGGAAAAAATTCAAGCAGCGGATGGAACTCTTCCTTCTGGCTACAGAGCCCAAGGAAGGTCGCAACCAGCAACAAAAAGCCGCTATCTTTCTGCACGTCGCTGGGCAAGAAGCCATTGAGGTATTTAACACGTTTGGTTTGTCAGCTGAAGAAGCCCAAGATTACGATGTCCTGGTACGGAGGTTCGAAGCCTACTGCCTTCCGAGATGCAATGAGACGTTCGAACGCTATGTGTTCCGAGCGAGGCGACAAGAGGAAGGAGAAGCTTTCGAACATTTCTACCGCGATATTCAGCTGAAAGCAGCGACCTGTGGATTTGGCGACCTAAAGGACTCCATGCTACGAGACCAGATCGTGTATGGAACGTCAAGCAAGAAGATTCGAGAGAAACTCCTGCGGAAAAAGGATTTGACTTTAGAAATAGCAGTTGAATGCTGCAAGGCCGAAGAAACGGCCAATGTCCACAACAAAACATGGAATGACGCGGCAGTTAAAGGGTCAAGTGAAGCAGCGGCCAAGGTGGAAATCGTTAAGACAGTCAAGCAGCAGCAGAAAGACAAGTCGAGATGTCGCTTCTGCAACCAAGCTCACGCGCCAAGGCAATGTCCAGCCTACAGAAAGACATGCTCAAAATGCAGGAAGAAAAATCATTTTGCAGTATGTTGCAAGACTAAGCAGTCTGGCGTACATGACGTTGAAGAAACCAGTGAGGCAAGCAGCGATTTTGATGTGCTTGAGATTTTGTCAACCAGCAGCGTGCATTCGGTCGGCAACCGTGACTGGACCGTGAATACTACGATAGAAGGGAAGCAGGTAGAGCTTAAAGTGGACACCGGTGCACAGGCCAATCTGCTCCCTCGAACATTGTTTATGAAGATCAAACAAAAGCAGCGGCCTCAACACACGACTGCAACTCTGCATAGCTACGGAGGTGGCATCATACAACATCTGGGAAAAGTCCGCCTGTCGGTATCTGTCGGCAGAAAACAAGGTTTCATCGATTTCTTTATAGTAAAGAAGGGCAGGCAAGCCATCATGGGCCTGAAAGCATGCGAGCACTTTGGCCTCGTCAACACTGTAGAGCACGAGAACCAGCAGCGCCAACAAGTAGAGCGCGAGTTCCCCGGTCTCTTTCGTGGTCTCGGTTGCACAAAGAGAGCCTACAAGATGGTTCTTCGCGACAACTCCACACCGGTGATCCAGCCAGCACGCCGGGTGGCGCACGCGCTACGTGCGCCTCTGAAGGCAGAGCTCGACCGAATGGAGACAGCAGGTGTCATCGCGAAGGCACCAGAACCGTCCGACTGGGTGAGCCCCTTGGTTATAGTACGAAAGAAAAACAACAACTTAAGATTATGCATGGATCCCCGTCACGTAAACAAAGCACTCAAGCGAGAGCATTTTCAGCTGCCTCGGAGAGAGGAAATTGAAGCAGACTTGGCACATACCGCATACTTTAGCCGGCTCGACGCCAACAGCGGTTTCCATCAAATACCGTTGGATGACAGTACATCTCGAATATGCACCTTCAGCACTCCTTTTGGTCGCTACAGGTTTCTCAGACTACCCTTTGGAATCGCTTCAGCCCCCGAGGTGTTTCAGCGCACTATGAGTTACCTTTTGGATGGACTTCCAGGTGTGCGGGTGTATATTGATGATGTCCTGATTTGGGGCGAAACACGGGAAGAACATGACCAACGATTGCGTGCTGTGCTTCATGCTCTACAAACAGAAGGGTTAACTCTTAACTTGGAGAAGTGCATCTTCGGGGTCACAGAAATCACCTACTTAGGAGATAAAATAAGCGCAGCTGGCATTGAGCCAAATCCAGAACTGGTGAAATGTGTTGCAGCCCTACCAACTCCAACGAGTAAGAAAGAGGTTCAGCAGTTGCTAGGAGCTGTTAACTACTTTGGAAAGTACTTTCCAAACCTGTCAACGCAGACAGAGTCGTTGCGTCAACTTATTCGACAAGACACTATTTTTGAATGGCAGAAGGTTCATGAAACTGAGTGGCAACAACTGCGAAAATTGCTCACTGAGGCACCGGTCCTGGCAATTTTTGATCCCTCTCGACCCACCAAAGTCTCAACAGATGCCTCTGCATTTGCTCTCGGTGCTGCCTTGTTCCAGCATGATGGAAAAGATTGGAAAGTGGTGGCGTACTCATCACGAGTACTCACAGACACAGAGCGTAGATATGCTCAGATCGAAAAGGAGGCTCTGGGAATTGTATTTGGGTGCGAAAGATTTACCGAATTTATACTCGGAAGAAAAATATTCGTTGAATCTGACCATCAACCCTTGATCGCTCTTGCAAAGAAAAACTTAGGCGACCTGCCACCAAGGTTGCAACGACTATTTCTTCGTTTGCTTAAGTTCGAATTTGATTTACAGTTTGTCCCTGGAAAGAAGCTGGTGATCGCGGACACACTCTCCCGAATCTCCGGTGGTTCCCAAGCAGAAGACGACACGACCGACGTCGAAATACATGCAAATGCAGTGTTTTCAACACTGGTAGGCAGCCGGACCCTGGGCAGCCTGCAGGCAGCCACAGCAGGCGATCCCGTCCTGCAGGAGGCAATTGCCAGTTTAGAAGCTGGAACTCCAGTTCGGGGTGAGCTGAAGTCCGTTATGACAGAGCTTTCGGTCATCAATGGAGTCTTGTTGAAAGGAAACAAAGTTGTAATACCAGCAGCAATGCGCAAAGAAATATTTACAAGAATACACCAGGGTCACCTAGGCCTCAACAAATGTAAATCAAGAGCAAGGAACTTAGTCTACTGGCCAGGTATGAATGCGGATATTACTGCATTAGTCAGAAAATGCGAGACATGCCAAATTTTCACCTACAGACACCAGGATGAGCCTCTGCATACACGTGAGGTGCCTGGTCATCCTTGGGGTCGGGTTGGGGCTGACTTGTTCGAACTTGGTCGTAAACATTACCTAGTGGTGTATGACGCGTACTCAAATTATCCCGAAGTGGAGGAGCTTCGTGACACAACTGCTAATGGTGTGATCTCCAAACTGTCAGAAATATTTGCACGTCATGGAATACCATTAGAAGTTTGCACAGACGGAGGGCCACAGTTTTCTGCAAAAGAATTCAAAGACTTCTCAACGCGGTATGATTTTATTCATACAGTGTCAAGCCCTGGGTATCCCCGCTCCAATGGCCTCGCGGAGAAAGGCGTCCAGGTGGTGAAGCGGCTACTCCGAAAAGCACAATCAACAAAAGAGGACTTCTGGCTCGGCTTGCTTAGCTACCGTACGGCTCCGCTGGAAGGCGGTCGCTCTCCATCGGAGCTTTTGATGGGTCGTGGTATTCGAAGCCTGCTTCCAGACTTCTCTTCGGATCAAGCACCGCCTGTTCAAAAGCACACCCAGAACCTCAAAAAAAGGACGACATCTAGAGCCGCTGCAGCCAGGAGACACCGTCCGTATCCTAAACGATGGAAAATGGGCTACGAAAGCAACTGTCGAGTCCTACGTCGCTCCTAGATCGTACAGCGTCGTCACAGAAGATGGCAGGACGTTCCGTCGCAACAGGCAACATCTCCTGAAAGTTGACGAAGAATATGATTCAAGGACAACAGAAGAAAACGACGACTCGGAATCGGAAGACGATGGGGGACCGCAGTCGCCTGGACCAGACAGTACAGATGAAGAGACAGAGGACCAGGAAGCACCGCAAGCTCAGACGCAGCAGGGGCCCTCATCACGCCGATCGGGCAGAAGCAGACAGCCTCCACGGAGACTAAGTTATGATGAGTCGTTCCAGCAAATGCCGTAGTTTTTTTTTTCTTTCTTCTCTTTTTTTCTCTCTCTTGTCCCTGTTTTTTTTTTTTTTTTTTTTGACTAGCGTCTTTGTGTCATCTTAATTTTGCACTTTTTTTTTTAAATGCAGAGAAAAGAGGATGTACCACGAGCATAGCCTCGCGGTGCGGGAATAAAAGACGACGACGAGCCAGTCGTTCCTATCTCATCCTGGCGTACAGTCCATCATCCGTAGGCGCTCGTAATAGAACGATACAGACACGTCGCCGTTACACGCAGGACCCAGTGTCGAATCCCGGAGAAAAGCTCACCGGAGAAAAGCTCACCGGAGATAAGCTCACCGGAGAAGAGCTCACCGTAAAACCGGTGGATGCGGAGAAAAGCTCACCGGCCATTGAGCGTATGCGCAGAAAAGCTCACCTATATTTTTTCTTCTTTTTATATGGAGGCTGTTGGATCGTGCGTAACATATATCAATTTATTATCATTAAAATTCGTCAGCTTTGTAAAAAATAAAATGCCCTCTTTTGTAATATTTGTTAAGCTTAATTGGTATATATTGCTCCCAAATTAATAATTGCGGGCCAGTGTTTTTTGTAGCTTACTCTCTAGGCGACGAAAGCCTAACTAAAATCTTTATGAACTTGAAGAACAGGAAAAAGTTAAAAAAACGTAATGATGACTGCCTAAAACCTAAAAATCAAAGGTGTAAATGCCGAAAATTCAAAAGTGCACTCGCAACACCGCGGTGCCTGAAATTCTCTTTGAAGCTTTTGTTAACATTTGAAAACAGGATAAAACAGTCAGTAGGATATCGAGGCTTCTTTCTTCCACGGACATGCACGCTTTCTAAACGTTCGTGCTGGTGTTTCCACACGTTTCCTTTGTGTGATAGTGTCCTCCTACGGTGCGCCAGCCATGACCTTCAGAGGTCATGGCTGGCGTCTCCGTTGTTATTCGTGAGCTGTATAAGAACTAGTCATTTGTAAGGTAGGTAGGGAATTGGGCGAGTTGGTAAACGTTATACGTGATGAAAACCGCTCAAACGACGACGACGGAGTGAAGACAACAAACACGACACGACGAAGCTGTTCTCGCAACTAAAGTTTTGTTAGGGAAATTAACAGAAAGAAAACAGCGTAGCCGACACTGATTACATTAACAAACATCTACTTATCTATTAGGCACTACACAATTTTTGGACCTCAAGCTATTCACACACCGCTATTCATATTAGCTCGCAAAGAACAAACCTCTTTATCTGACAGAGCTACCGACGACCAGACTTGTACACGTTACTGAAAAAAAGTAACTGATTACAATTACAATTACTACAGTCAAAAAAGTAACCGATTACCGTTACTGATTACTGCCTCCCAGAAGTAATTGAACAATTACTGCAAAGTAATTGATTACTTTTCAAGTTACTTTCACGTTACTTTTTATTGCGATGACAGAAATACACAAATACACAGTAAAATATTGCGTACACAATTTTGTTTGGTTATTGTTCCCTTTTTTGTTTTCAGACCCGGACCTTGTCGTGTAGCTGACGCGTCGACCTAAGGAACAAAGCCCACTAAAAAGTCAATAGCGAGTTCCCGCTTCCCGTCGACTTTATCAGCGATCTGCAACGAGATCCGGAACTCCCCAGCCAAGGCTGGTGGCGCGCTTGTAGAAGAGCGTGGCGTAAAAGAAAAAAGGATTTGCCGACTAATCCTAGTTTTATTTTTTTTAGATGTTAAAAAAATGTCAATCATTTTTGCTCTATGGCTGAGTGACTATGCTGATTTTTGTGAGAAAAAAAAATTGTGGGATGAAAAATGTAATTGGTAATTGTGTAATTGATTTTGTAATTGATTACAGAAAAAAATTAATTGAATTACTCCGAGCGTTACAGCTTGACAAATGTAATTGAAGCGTTACAAAATTACACTTAACTGTAATTGATTACAAGTAATCAATTACTTGTAACGCGTTACGTACAAGTCTGCCGACGACGCACCCTCAGCTGTCAATAAATTGTTGCCTTTTTTACCGGTGTACGATGTTCTGATTTTATACTTGCGGCTTCATTAATTTACAGAATGGGTGATTACTAATTTCTGAGGAATCAGTAAATATTCCCCCAATGAACCTCAAGAATATTACAAAAACGAGGACATATTTTTAATGAAGCGACGAATGCGAATTGTGTTAAATTGCCACGTTTTACGCAGAATCAAGCTAAGCTAAAAAAAAAATATCCGTGAGCTTTTCTCCGCATCTGCCGGTTTTGCGGTGAGCTTATCTCCGGTGAGCTTATCTCCGGTGAGCTTTTCTCCGGTGAGCTTTTCTCCGCCGCCCCCCAGTGTCGACGTGTCGATTGACACAGAGAAGTGTGTCAATCGAATCTTCAATTTCCTTCTTTCCTTATCGTAAATTAGTAACCAACACGCCCAACCCTCTACAGCAGGGGTCTCAAATTCACGTTAGGAGCCGGGCCGCATCCAGAAATCCTAGGTTCGCAAGGGCCCGCACGTCAGGAGCGGGGGGGGGGGGGGGGGGGGGGGGGGGGGGGTTGGATTTGCAATTGCCGCCATTCGGAAGTGTGTGACGTCCGGTTTTTGATTTTGACCAACACGGGGTTCATGCCAGATACTATCACCGCTTTTGACAACAGTCGAAATCTGCACCAACCATGCTAAAACTCATTGCCGCAAAAGTTTACGTGCGTAAATTATGTTCCAATTCGCAGTATTACAAAGATAATGTCCAAAACAATTTGTGAAAGCCAAGATATATTTATTCATGTGAACCACAAATATGAGAGCTAAAATTCTATGAACGCTGGCTTGACACCTGACAACGCTTAGCGGCGACGAGAAAATCAATGTCCGCCTTTAGTCCTTGTGCGGAGACAATCCTCATGATCGATCGCAGATGTTCGTCGGTCATCCTCGACCGAAGTGTCGACTTGTTTACCTTTAGCAAGGAAAACAGTTGCTCGCACAAGTACGTGCTCCCGAACATGGCGATTATCCTTACTGCTTGTTGGCGCAGCGAGGGAAAGTTTTCCTCGTCGAGGAACTTGTAAAACTTCGGGACTCCGATGTCCTCAAACTTCTGCTTGAGTAGAGTGTTCGCTTGCAGTTCAAGCAGTTCCATCTGTAGTTCAGGTGCAACATCGTCCACTTGCACTGAGAAGGGCAAAGAAAAAAGTTTAAATTCTCTTGACAGGCTGCTCACGTCCTGGAACCGTTCTTGGAATTCTTGTTGGAGATCACGCAGGAGGTCCGAAAAGGTGTCGCACGATTTTTGGCTCGCGTGCCCTAGTGACTGCAGCGTCGGGAAACGGTCGAGTTTGAGCAGCCTCATTTGGCGCTCCCAGAGCTCTAACTTCGATTGAAACGCCTGGATGTCAAGTTTGTCCTTCCCCTGAAGTTTCCCATTTAGACGGTTCAGGTACTCAGTGATATCCGTGAGGAATGCGAGGGAGCAAAGCCAGCTGGGGTCGGACAGTTCAGCGACGGCCTTGTTTTTGCTTTTCAAAAAGGTATCAATCTCGTGTCGAAGATTAAAAAACCTCTTCAGAACTTTCCCGCAACTCAGCCACCGTACCTCAGTGTGGTACAAAATTTCGCTATACTCGCTGTCAACCATCTCCAACAGAGATACAAACTGTCGATGGTTTAACGCTCTGGAGCGAATGAAGTTTACTGCACCAAACACAATGTCCGTGACTCCTTTTATCTGCAATGACTTGCTGCAGAGTGCCTCTTGGTGTAAAATGCAGTGGACTGCTGCAAACCGCTTACTGATATCCCGTCCAGTGAGTTTCGTCCTCAATCGTCCGACAAGGCCGCTTTTCTTTCCCACCATTGACGGTGCGCCGTCGTTTGCGAGGCACACCAACTTCTCCCATGGCAGCCCAGCACGATCAACCACTCGTTCGAGGGCGGAAACAATATCAGCACCTGTGGTTGTTCCTTTCATTGGCACTAGGTCCAAGAGTTCTTCTGTGACGTCCAAATTTTTGTTTACGACCCTTACAAAAATGGCGCACTGAGCGTTGTCAGTAACATCAGTGCTCTCGTGGACGGCGATTGAGAATGCGTTGAAGCCGTTGCATCTGGTGAATAATTCTTTCTCGACGTTTTCACTGAGCTCATTAATTTTTTCTGCCACTGTGTTTGGGGAAAGGCTTATCTTCTCAAATGTCTTCTTCATGCTGGGACAGACAGTGTCAGCAACCTCAAGCAGACACTTTTTTATGAACAGGCCATCAGTAAATGGCTTGGACGATTTGGCGATAAGATCGGAAACAATAAAACTAGCTCTCACCGTTTCGTCACTTGTTTTGACCGCCTTTTGGAAGAGGTCTCGCTGTTTTCCCAGCGACGCCTTAAGTTGGAACACCGTGTTCACGCGGATCTTTCCAATGAGGGCTTCATACTTCTCTTGATGGCATGACATGAAGTGACGTCGCACATTGTATTCCTTGTGCACAGCTACAGTCTGATGACAAGTTAAACACACCACCTTGTCTCGCGATTCCGTGAAGAAATAGGATAGTTCCCATCGCTCTTGAAAGAGCCGCTTCTCGTCTTCAACTCTGCGTTTTGCAGACGGCTTGGACAACGACATCGAGATGTCTGCTTGAGAGTTGACGTCGCAAGACTACTCGTTTTGAGTGTTTATTTATTGGCCTTTGAGTCCCCGAAACCACCGAGTGCCGAAATCGCACGTGCGGGAAGGGCTCTTGTGTTCGTGCCGGTTTGGGAACGGCCTTCGCGCACGTGCGGTTTCGGCACTCGGTGGTTTCGGGGACTCGGAGGCCAATAGACGCTTTACACACGCACCAAATTACAGCCGCCATTGGAGACCTTTTCTTGTCTTACCGAGATGCCGAGCAACTGAAACGGTACTTGACGATGCTCTACAAAGGCCGGTGCTTTAGAAAAGCCTCCCCAAGATTCTGGGACACGACCTACTTGCGCCCTCTCTTGGTAGGTGTGCAATATCACTGAAAAACAGTCGAATCTAGCGATCCGAATAAAATCACGCAAAGTTCCCCCGGAATTATTGAGATCATTGTGATTGATAACTTCAGGAAAAATTTCACCACATCGTCACTCTTTCTCTAGGTTCCCAGGAAATAAGAGTGATTTCCCCCATAGACTGCCATTGAAATCTCGCTTTATTTGTCACGTTCAGTGAGTTAATAAAGCAACCCCTCAATATTTCAATAAGTTCCCGCAGGTATATATTCTAGAAGATTTATGCTATCGAAATATTCAAGCAGTTTTCATGTATATTAATTATCCCAGGTTCCCAGCGAGATAATTAATTACACCTGTAGCTTCCGCCGCGTAAAGGTATCTTTCCAACAAGAGGAGGAGTGCTACGGGAAAGGCTACTTTACACTCGTCAGCAAAGGCGCACTTTTTGGCGATGTGCGCCTTTGCTTGGAACCTACAGAAAATACCTCAGACGTTGGAAAGTTCTTAAAACATGTACCCTGGTAACTATTCAATATGATTCCCGGGGAACTTTGGGAGATAGGTCTTGGTTACCGAGATACGTAGCGCTGAAGTAGGCTCCTTTGACAAGACCTCTCCCCGAAGCAGTGAACCGCGCATTTTTCGGCGAAGTGCGCCTCCGCTGGGAACCTACAGAGAACGCCTCAGACGTCTGAAAAATTTTAAAACATGTACCCTGGTAACTGCTCAATATGATTCCCGGGGAACTTTGCGAGATACGTCTTGGTTGCCGAGATACGTAGCGCTGAAGTAGGCTCCTTTGACAAGATCTCTCCCCGAAGCAGTGAACCACACATTTTTTGGCGAAGTGCGCCTCCGCTGGGAACCTACAGAGAACGCCTCAGACGTCTGAAATTTCTTAAAACATGTACCCTGGTAACTGTTCAATATGATTCCCGGGGAACTTTGCGAGATACGTCTTGGTTGCCGAGATACGTAGCGCTGAAGTAGGCTCCTTTGACAAGATCTGTCCCCGAAGCAGTGAACCGCGCATTTTTTGGCGAAGTGCGCCTCCGCTGGGAACCTACAGAGAACGCCTCAGACGTCTGAAAATTCTTAAAACATGTACCCTGGTAACTGTTCAATATGATTCCCGGGGAACTTAGGGAGATACGTCTTGGTTGCCGAGATACGTAGCGCTGAAGTAGGCTCCTTTGACAAGATCTTTCCCCGAAGCAATAAACCACACATTTTTTGGCGAAGTGCGCCTCCGCTGGGAACCTACAGAGAACGCCTCAGACGTCTGAAAATTCTTAAAACATGTACCCTGGTAACTGTTCAATATGATTCCCGGGTAACTTTGCGAGATACGTCTTGGTTGCTGAGGTACGTGGCACTGAAGTTGCCTACGTTTATGGAAATGATCAAACCGCTGAGTGTTTTGCCAAGGTACGGCTCAGCTGGGAACCTGTGGAAAAAATTGCAAAGTCTTGGTCATGGTGACAAAGCTGAAGCGCACAGAATGTTCGTGCGCAAAGATTGGCGAAGATTGACATATGATGTGTCAATGGACATTTTGCAGAAATGCGGGTTCGAGAGTAAATGGATCTGTCGCCCTTCCTCTCTTCGCGCTGGCCGAGAGGAGAGAGACGAAGGCGTCTTTGTATTTTCCTCAGGGCGAAAGATAATCGTAAAGATAAACAAAAGTGCTTTAGAGGGAGCTTGATCTAGGTCACCTCGACACAATAGTCTATTCACTTGCTGAGTCAGCGCCCACAAACATGGCCGCCACACGATAAAGCAACGCTTTTATTCGAGAGCTCTGTAAAAAAATAAAAGAAGGCAAAGCAAACTCGCCAATCGGATAACCACTTTTGCCTTCAGCGGTCATGCTTGTGTGTAGTGACTCGACATTAAAAGACGCAGTGGACATGCCTGCGGCCAGGGGACGCTCGTCTTCTAGCCATGTACTCTCGAAGCAATATTTCTGCAAAACGTCCATTGTTGTGTAAGCTTTGCGTGGTAGGACGTCATGCTTTGCGTTGTTGGCGTCAAGTATTGCGTGGTGGGATGTTATGCTTTATTTGGTACTTTATGCTTTTAAAGTGTAGTATTATTATCTAGTGTGGGAGGTCCGATGTTTCTCTGCAACTGCATAGTCAAATAAAATGTCAATTTTTGCCAATCTTTGCGCGCGCACATTTTATGGCGTTCAGCTCTGTCAGCATGACGAAGACTGCAATTTTTTTCTTTCGCTCTCGGCACGTTCGTACACGTTCCGCGTTGGTTTGAGGTGCTGGAACTGGCGGAGGCCCGCCTTCCTGCTGTTCCCTCTCAAGCTTCTTCCGCCTGCTCTACTTCCACATACATTCGGCATTCGTCTGCCTCGTAGGAGCCCCAGCAGTGCAACGTATTGGACTCCAGCTGCTCTTTATATAGACCGTTTTATCGTGGGTAGCACCATTTTGAGAGCGAGAGAGAAAAGGGGAAAGGGCTACCGGCGCTTTCCTCCTTTCTGATTGTGTAGAAAGAGTGGAAGTCCCGGGTGAGAGGCCTGGCCGGTGTTGGGCGTCTGCAGTGCCCCAACTTCGTTCACGCTTTCTTCTATGTTTCAAGCTCCCAAACTTAATTAGAGCCATGGTCTTTGATGGCGACAGTCCCCCGGTCATCGGGACACCATTGCTGGGTGATAGGGTGCACGAATAACGATAGAAAGCGTCGAATACTGTCCGAGGACCTATGTAGCTTGCATGGAATCCGGCAAGGCAAGTACGGCTGGAATGTTTTTAAGCTCCATTGCTTTCCGCATGACTGGAAATGATGAACCATTTATACATTTTTGCTGCAATGGGCCTATTTGAACGTAGCCGCTTTTAGTTGTAATCAACAAGCGATACACGAAACGGGAACCTCAATTAACTTTGTAAACGCCCGGAGCTGCTACATACCGTCTTGCTGTGCTGTTTTTATCTTCGTGTCCCTGTTCTTATATTTCCTTGTGAATGAACGACGAAGACGCTCTAGATGTAATTTTATCGAACCGCAGAAAGCCTCGAAGCAGCCACGAATTATTTTACTATTTGATGCAATATTTTGAGTGCTCACCTCCAATTTCTATAGCTGGCACGTTCGCTGCCGCTGTTCCCCTTGTCGCCACACTGGCGGATGCCATGACTCAAACAAAGAAACGTGCACACTTGGCTCAAAAACGCAGATCGCATCACACGAGACGTTCCCTGCAGCGACTATCCAGCGTTTCAAAGCGCCCAATCAACGGAAACAACCCACCAGCGGCACTCCAAGGAGCGCTTTTGCCGGCTCTCTGGTATCGCGCAAAAAATCGCTATTAAAAAAAAAAAAAAAAAAAAAAAAAAAAAATAGAACTACGTTTTTAACAATTTCCAGCCTCACTCGGCGGCGGAAATAAGCCTTCAACTAAGTGTTGTAGATGATAAAATCGATTTAGTCACCACTGCAAATTATCACTATTAAGACAAATTCAGTTACGAAATTTTACAAGCTGAAACGGCAGTTATCACGAGAAAACTCGCACGCACATTGCGAGCGCACCCCATGTTCATCGGCGGTACAGCGTTCGGTGCGCGCTCCATTCATGAAATGTTCCGAGCGAAGTCGAGAGGATGGCGTTGAGGAAACGCCTTTTCGGTTTACGGACGCAATCCACTGCCCCCGGAGACAGGGGTCATGTGAAAAGCGATGGAGCTCAAAGACATTATACAGCCGCTCTCGCCTTGCTGGATTCCTTGCAAGCTACATATGTCCTTGGACAGTATTCTATGCTTTCTGTTTTTATTCGTGCATTCTAAGACCCAGCAATGGTGTCCCGATGACCGGGCGACTGTTGCCATCGAAGCTTTAATTAAGTTTGCGAGTTTAAAACAAAAAAAGAAAGCGCGAACGAAGTTCGCGCACAGCAGACACCCAACACCGGCGAAGCCTCTCATCCGGGACTTTCACTCTTTCTACACAATCAGAGAGGGGGAAAGCGCCGGTAGCCCTTTCCCCTTTTCTCTCTCGCCCTCTTTCAGTAAAACGGTCTATAGGCTGAAAGGTCGGAGCACTGCAGTCGATTTTGCCTTATATTGCCGCGCGCTCGGTTACTCGGTTCTAGAAGATTCGCGTCTATAGGGTCTATTCACTTGCTGAGTCATCATCTACAAACATGGCCGCCGAGCAATAAAGCGGAACTTTTATTCGTGAGCTTGGTGAAAAATAAAAGAAGGCAAAGCAAACTCGCCTATCGGCAAACCGCTATGGCCTTCGGCGGCCATGCTTTTGTGTAGTGACTCGACATTAATAGGCGGTCTGACGTCATGTGACTCTATTCTTTCTCCGGGCGTCTATCATTTCGTTCCCTTTCCTGGTTCTGGAAAGTTCCAACTCATTCCCACCCCGCACGCCCGACGCTCCAAGCTTCCGCGCCGAATGTTCGAGATGGCGTTGTCAGACTTGCTAAGGAGCCGCGCGTGACCTCGTCGAGCCAGTCTTGCTCTCGCTCGCTCTGACGCCGCGCCGCCGCGTAACCGCGTACTGCTGTTCCGACGCCCGTTATTTCTTTCGTTTTGGTTGGCACAAGTTCGCCCCATTAAACTTTCAGTTTAAACGTGACCTTCGCCGCCTCATCGTTGGTCCTTCGCGACAATA